TTCTATCCATCTACTCGTTGGTCCACATGATCTTCTGAGGTGGGGACAGAGGTATCTGTGAAGGGCAGGACTTGGATGAGCATCTGGTGGGTGGCCTCCTTTTCCATGGTGTCAGGAACCATGGGGATGCTCCTGGGGTCTGTCTGGACCACCTCAAACCAAGTTGGGTGGCTTCTGCTCTTTTAGGACCATCAGATGTGTACACACATGCCTAGGGTCACACCCACAAGCACAAATACACATAGACGTCTGAGAATGTATGTCTTGGGATAGTTGGTCTGAGGTCACTTGGAAATGGTGGCCCCTAACCTGTGCCTGACTCTCACTCAGGCCCCTCTTCACCTGGGCCAGATGGCTCTGCGTCCTCTGCACAAGAAATAGACAGGGCTTTTCTTCTTGGCAGGGGACTGGAATAAGCTGGATGACCAGCTGAAACCACTGGGTCCTCCAAGCTTTCTCAACTTCCTTTCTTAAGAAAAGAAAAAAAAGAAAAAAAAAAGTGTGACAGGGAGCTCCCAGAAGGAGCCTCATGAGCCCTGCCCAGGGCAGCCTCAGCTGGCAGAGGCTTTACCCAAAACACAAAAAGAAACATTTTTAAAAAGAGAAAAAAGCTCTGAAGACTCGCCAAGGGACATGAGTGTGTGCCGCCTCTATTTCCTGTATGAGATTTTTGTACTCTATTTTCCTAGCCATTGTTGTGTCCTTGTTTGCTGATGGGTGGGAGCGACCCAGCGTCTCAGGGACCCATCCTCTGTCACATTGTCATAGTGTGCCTTGTGTTCCCTGTCTCACTCCACCCACTGCCACCAGCATGCCCCTGTGGCTTATGGGATGCGCCAGGCCTCCTGGTAGGTGCCCCCCTCACTGCTTTCCTACAGGTAGCCCCTCCCAGCAGCTGCATCCTCCTGGGAAGGACATGTACATGCCTGTGTGGTTCCCACGGCTGATTCCTGTACTCTGCAGGGCTATGACCTGGCCTCCAGTGGTGCCTCCATGGTAACTGGCAGTGTGACTGTGCTTGAAAGTTCAGGACAGCAGGCCTGTTAGCATAGGGCCTTATCTCTGGACTTGGGCAAGGGCCTGAAGTGTCAGCCATGGGCAGCTTATAAATATAGCAGTTCTAGAGGTAGTACGAGCCTGGCCAGGAGGCTTCTGTTGGCCTTTCAAAACTAGAAGACCTTGTTTCTAGGGGCACCACACAGCAATATTTGGGTAGTGGCCACGGGCTAGCCCACATCAGCACCTGCCACCTCCTCTGGTGCATTTGTAAACGATTTCCAAACTGTGGGGAAAATTCCTGTTTATCTTCAGTCATGTCAGTGACCACCCTAGGGTGGGCTACCTCCTGATACCAGAATGAGGTTCCTGGAAACAACTCTGGCATAGAACCTATTCTTTGGCCACTCAAAATGACAAGTGGACAGCAGGCCTGGGTAGGAGTCCCTGGAATAGAAAGATAGCCAACATCTTAGTAAGCTGGTTCTATCTACATTTTCTGCCCAAATCAGGGCTTCAGTGTCTGCCTGAGCATGTCCCCCAGGCATTTGTCTTGAGCACACTCACCCTTAGCACAGGAGAGAGCTCTGTTTAAAGGCTTTGCTTCAGGTCCCCAGAACTCCAGGGCTCCTGATATGCCCTGAATTCTTATATCATCAACTCCCTGCTCCATCTCCAGCACCTCAGATTCTGCTTCCACCCCTGCCAGCAGAGTCCACTCCTGGTGACCAGATTGGCCCCCTTGGCTGAATTTGTGACAGCTCAGCCCTTTGCCTTTTAAGGCTATGGATCCCATGTAGCCTGGGAGTTGGCCTCCTCAGTCACTCAGGGGTGCTAGCCAGCTGCCCCTCCCACTAGCAGGCATGTGAGGGGTGGTCCATAGGCATGGGAGCTGGTGCTAAGAGTTACATATGTATTACTCGCTCTCCTGCTCTCTACCATTTGCACAGTATGGCCATTACTGGTAGCCATGGGATTCAGCCAAGGCTATTGTGTGTCTGTAGAAGAAAGCTGGACCAAAATAGCTGCTGCTATGTCCTCCACCTGCACCTGTCTATGTGAGCCATATGGTGCTCTACAACAGAGTCTGGAACTCCAGGCTCAGGCTTGGGCCTCTTTACTACTAGGAGGTGATCCAGACGTACCAGACCCACCATCTGCTGCAGGCCCACCTGGTCTAGCAGGAGAGGACACTATTGTGATCCCTTCCTAGTGGTGAAGACCCAAATGCTTCTGGATTTGGTTCTGAGTTTTCATCTTCATCACTTGAGTGTTAATACAATGAAAAGCAAATCTCCCCTCCCCCAACTCCATGGTCTTAAGAAAAGTCAATTTTCTTCTGGAAGAACAAGACCAATAGGAGGAACCTGCCAGTCCACAACTCACTGGCTGATGGCCCCCCAGGGTTCTGCCAGCTCCTGGGGGCTCCCTTGCCTTTACCCATTCCTGAATTGCCCAGTGCCAGCTTTCTCAGGCCTTTTATGACTTAAAACAATATTTTTTTTTTTTTGCAGAATCAAGCTAACACCTGTCTGAGGCTGTCACTCTCCTCTCTGTGTTGTCTGGAGAATAGATCTCTTCACTTCCATTAAACTACATCTAAAACCAACCTTTAACATCACAGTTGTATACAAAGTTTTAAAACTGTCTGAAAAGATACTGTATAAAAAACATCAAATAATTTCTAATATTGATGACAGGAGAGGAAGGCCAACAGAAAAGACTCATGGTCCCACAGTTAGGTTTGTTTCATCTATTACACTCCCACAGGCTTGCGTAGGGACGATCAGCTCCTCAGTACCCTTTACTTTTTGACCCCACTAAAACCACAACTGATTTTGAGTAGAAGAGAGCAAGCTTGTCTTGGAAATAAGTTTAACATACTTGCCTTCTTAAGTTTCTAATCCAATCCCAAGAAAACTTTCCAGTTCTGTATAATTAACCCCATTGTGTTTGCTGTTAGTACTCAGGGGGCTGGTCCTGTTCTAATCTTTTATGTTTTTATGGCTTCTTACGGCCTTACAAACACCTTTCAAACAAATAACTGTGGTCAGCAATTCAAGATGGAGGGCTGGGGGCCAGAAGTCACTAAGAAGGTCTCAAGGGTTCTAGGTTGTGCCTGGGGGGAACCTTATCCTGAAGAGTAGTCCTTTGTCTTTCTGGCATCTTTAATTCTGTCTCCTCCAAGCTCTTCTGCACAGTCTATAAATATCCTCCAGTTCCTCCCACTTTAAAACAAAACAACACCAAAAATCCTCTCAGCCTTGCATTCCCATCCCCTCATCTTGTGTCATTTGGCTCTTTTTCTCTCAGTCTTTGCCACCTCAGCAAAATTTCCTGAAAGCACTGCCTGCACTTCCTCTGGCCAAAACCCACTCAATGCCAGCTCCCTGCTGAGCCCCTACCTCCAGTTTGGCATCTGGGGTCCTCCTGGGCCAATCCTCTGATTTCCTAACCCCATTAGGCACCATTCTGAGAACTTTTCCCCTATACTGTTTGCTTTTATTTACTTTCAGGTTTTATTGACTTTCAAAAGGAGTATAAAAGTTAGATAAGAATTAATAGTAAGAGTTGGGGATTTAGCTCAGTGGTAGAGCGCTTACCTAGCAAGTGCAAGGCCCTGGGTTCGGTCCTTAGCTCTGGAAAAAAAAAAAGAATTAATAGTAAATGTCTTCCACTCAAATTTAAATGATCTGCCTAGAATATTAGTTTTTCTCTCTTTGAAAACGTTAATAGCTAGGCATGGTGATTCATACCTGTGACCCCAGCACTTGGAGATGCTAAAGAAGGAGGATCTTGAGTTCAACCCCAGCCTGGGGCATGAAGCAAATCCTTGTCTCACAAAACAAGCCTGGGGAAAATGATCCAAAAAGAATTCTACCTAGTAGTAACTAGACTAGAACCATGTCTGAAACATCACCCTATTTGTGACTGGACGGGGGGAGTACTATTTTTTAATGATCATAACCCAAACTTTTCGAACTTATATGTCATTTTACAAGAGATTAGTTAAGTTGCAAATGCTGTCTGATAGAAAAAAAATGAACAGATTATGAACCTTACAGACAAGTTGCTACCAATGCTAACTGTAACTCCAAAGGTCAGTTTTCTGGGACCATAGGACATTAACTAGGCTTGCATCAGACTTAGCCTTAGTTCAGCATTCTGTCTTTCACTGAATGAGGGCCAGCATCCTAGTATCCTCAGAATGTCTGTACTTCTGAGTTGAATGCATTACAAAACTAATGTACTTTACACCTTGATATTTTGAGGATGGGATCTTGGAAAAAGCTTTTGCTCGGAAGTCATCGAGGCCTTGGGAGTTAAGTCTTTTTTGCTAAATAACCATTGTAAAAGATTCCATAGCCAATAATCCTACTCTGCAAGAGACCTGACAGGGACCCAGCTACTGACCTTGTTATTAGCAACTCGTTGGGTCACCCTACCAGGGGTAGTGGTGGTAGTAAGAGCTTTTGGGGTAGGAGGGATGTGTTCAGCCTCAGGCTTCCGGTCCCCTAGTAGTGTCAAAGACTGCAAACCATATTTAGGACAGGAGGCCTAACTGAACTAGACAGGCCTAAATGTCTGTAGCAGCCTGCAGCCGGAAGAGACCGAGACTCCAACTCCAGAGCGGGGGCGGGGTGGGGCGGAGCGAGGACAGAGTCTCTAGTGAGAAAACCAATCCTCTTGAGCCTAGCGGGAAGGTCGGCGAGGGATAGAGGCGGGGTTAAAGGGGCGGAGCGTCTGGCAGGAGAACCAATCACTTTTCCCTGGCTCCTTGAAGGGGGCTGGTCAGCGGCTCCTCCTTCGCCTTCTCTGGGATACCCCGCCCTCTGCGCAAACATTACGGATATTGTAATCTGCGCGTGCGTATTCCCGCACTCCCGTGAGGCACTGCGGCACGCGCGGTTGGATCCTGGCGGATGGCAGTGCCAGGGGTTTCCTGAGGTAAGGGGCTTGCGTTCGGGACTGGCAGGACCGCTGCTACCCTCCCACAGCCTACGTGAGGCATCAATAGAGGTCGTTGGGCCCCGGCGCGGGGCGTGCGGAGAGGCTGAGGCTTCGTGCCGGGAGTTGGGGCGGAGGTGCTTGGCGGGTCATCTGGAGTTGGCTGAAACTCAAGGCCTTGATCATATTAGGCAAACGTTAAACCTGAAATATACCCTTATCTGTTATCCATCTTTTAAAAACAGCAATTTGGTACTTTCATGGGTATGTTTTATTAGAGCTCTTAAGTGTAGATACTCAGAAACAAACAAAAACCAACCCAGAAATGTTGCTACCTGAGTGTGAAACATGTCGTGATTTTAAGACTTGCCATTGTCACTAGCCTTCGTTTGGCTCAAATCGTGGTTCATTGTGCTCTGGTCAAAATAAAACTTTTTACTTGATGACTGATGGGTACTGAAACTTGTCAACTTGTCCTGGTTTTCTCTGCATTAGGCTGGTTATATCTATAGATCGAGTCCTTTGAACCTAATGGACGCTGATTGAGGTAAGTATTTAAAATTCTTCCTTAGAAAGTTAGGCATATTTCTTTTTCCTAACTAGAAACGACAGGGGAAAACAACTATTTTACAAAATGTAGTTTAAGTAATTTTATCATTGGAAAAAATCAGGTTTTTAAATTGTTATATCTTCATTAATTAGGTTTTTCATTACTGTTGTAATGTCTTCTGCAACACCCTGATTGCTTCTGTTTTTCTTTGTTTTCATCAGATATTGCACCTTCATCTATCTGCCTTTCACTTATGTAGCCTGCTTATGTCATCTGATAAAATTATCTGTATATTTAAAATGCATTTGACTTGTTTTCGGTCTAATACTTGTGTTCTTCCCTCCACTAGGAAAACACATTATAGATTGTATTTTTTTCTTTCTTTTATGGACTTAAACATGTTTTTTTCTGTTTGAACTTAGTTTTAAGAAACCATAGATTCACATCAAATATAAAAAACAGGAATAGTTAAACCATGAGTTGTGGAAATGAGTTTGTGGAAACACTGAAAAAGATTGGTTATCCCAAAGCTGATATTCTTAATGGAGATGATTTTGACTGTTTGTTTGACGCTGTTGAAGATGAGTCATTTTTGAAATGGTTTTGTGGGAACGTGAATGAACAGAATGTATTGTCTGAAAAAGAATTGGAAGCTTTCAGCGATCTTCAGCGATCAGGCAAGCCCATCCTAGAAGGAGCAGCATTGGATGAAGTTCTTAGAACCTGTAAAACTTTTGATTTGAAAACATGTGAAGTGGATGACAAAGAAATACAGAAATTAGAGGATGAGGTTCACATGCTGCAGAAATTAAATAACTCAAAAATTCAGCGAGTGCATAAATACCAGGTAATGGCTGTTGAAACTAAATGCAAGTCTCTGGCATTAAAGGCTAAACAAGAGGAAGCCACCGAGAAGCTGAAACAAAAACAACTGTTCCTAAATACTGTGAATACTAAACTCAGTAATGAACTTGAGGTTCTTACTGATACAATTAATAATTTGATGGTATTCTTTAGAAATTCTAATTTAAGTGAAAGGACAAATCCAAAGGTGTTTTTATCTCAGTTTTCCTTGGGAAAATATGTAAGCCAAGAAGAGCAGAGCACAGCAGCCTTAACCTTATATATAAAAAAGCAATTCTTTCAGGGTACACATGAAGTAGTTCAAAGTTCAAATGAAGAGGATTTTCAACTTTTAGATATACAGACACCATCTATTTGTGAAAATGAAAAAATCCTTGAGGAGCGACGTCTGGAGATGGTTAGACTGCAGATGGCATACATCTGTTCTCAACGACAGATCATATACTTGAAAACAAGTAATTTGAGCATGAAGTCAAGTATAAAATGGGCAGAAGAGACTCTTCATAGACTAACCAATGAGGTAAACATAACAAATAAGACTGAAACCACATTGTAATTATTAGAAATATAGAGTTTAATATTGCTATTTTAGGAAAGGAATCTAATTTTATTTTTATATTTGCTTAGTACTTGTTTGCAGTATGTGTTTAATACCAATATATTATTAATCAGGTTACTAGAATTTAGTAATTTTATCCTCAGTCATATTACTGAGCTAATTTTTGATAAAAATGCCTTAATTTGCATTATGAATTTGAAAATTGTGTCATTTCAAATACAGATTAAACTGGGATTTTTGTTTTATGTTATACACCAAAGAAACTACTTGCTTGACTATGAGTATTCTGCCTTGCTTCCTCTAACAAGAAGAGGGTATTAATTAAGTCCAGGATTCAGAGAATGAATCTCTCTTTACTTGTTGAAAATATGTAGATATATTGCAGTTGTTCATCTACACTCTTCAGAAGCTTGTTTTCTTGATAATACAACCACTAGATAGTTGAATAAAAATGTAGAGGTTTCTGAATCAATATAGAATCTCACAAATCTTCTATCATCAGCTCATGGACTAAGAAAATACTACATAATTTTAAGAAAAACTAAAATCTTCATTTGTTATGAGTAATATACTTTTTAAAGTTATGATTAAGATAACGATGAGATCTTCTAGCTTGTTATCCATTATCGTATACATAAATAGTGTGAAAGCACTGAAGTTCAGTAGTTTATGCTGGCTTTTCTCTCGACTTAGTTCATATTTTCCTTTAAAACTAGTTGTGGCTTATCATAGTAAGTTAGTTTTTATTCATTGCATACATTATCTGACCACCTAAAACAAAAAATGAAAGTAATTTTAAGATGAAAGTTTAAACCTACAGTTTAAAATGTTACTGCTTTCTTTGTATAGGTTATTGGTAAAGAAAATTTGGATGCAAAAATTTCTAGCTTGAATAGTGAGATTCTAAAACTTGAAGAACAAATCACTCATATAAAAGACAAAAGTTTGCCTGCTGTGGTAAAAGAGAATGCCGAGCTATTGAACATGCGAGTGGTAAAGGGCGATTTTGATCTGCAGATTGCTCAACAAGATTATTATACAGCAAGGCAAGAGCTAGTGTTAAATGAGTTGATGAGGCAGAAGGCATCGTTTGACCTTGTCCAGTTATCGTATGAGATTGAGTTGAGAGAACACTGGGATATATATCGGCAATTGGAGAGTTTGGTTCAGCAACTCAGTCAAAGAAACACGGTGCCCTGCCAGCACTTGGCAATGTTATCAGGCCTACCAGCATCTGAGCAGTTAACCTCAAGGACTCCCATCGACCCCAAAGATCATTCTACTCATAGGTATGTATATGTCATTGCTTCCTTAGCATTTTTTTCTTTTATTTTTGAGAAATACTAGAGAGTTGGAACAGAAATTTTAAAGGCTTAAAAATTACTTGTGTTGAGATTTGGCCTTTCTGCTATTCTTTTCATCCTTTAAATTTTTTGTTCCCTTTCTGTTCATGTTAGGTCTGAATGTAGCCACTTTAGAGCGGAAGTCAATGAGTTGGGGGAGTAAAGTGATAAAATATTTTACTCCCACTTAGACACTTAGATTTGGGACAGAAAATTTGAATCCATAGGTATTGCTGGGCATGATACTGATTGTATAGGGAAGGTGGTGGTAGGCTGGGAAGACTTTTTTTCCCTATCTGAGGAAGTAGATGACTAAAATGAAAGCTAGCCCTTCCTGGATCTCTAAGCAATTGATGATAACAGGATACTGGAATTGAAGGTTGAAAGTATTAGACTTCAAAAGTACTCTGCTTGATATGTGGCTCATATCTGTAATCCCAGCACCTAGAAGGTTGGGAGGCCTTTATGGGCTACGTAATGTTCAGCAAACACTTGTGTTTTAAATTCTGTGTGGTGATGGAATTACATATTTAATTTCAACTTTCTGGAAGCTAGGTCAGGAGAATCTTGAATTTGAGGTCAGCTTGGGATATGCAGCAAGAACTTAGGACAGCCTGAGCTGCACAATGAGACTTTGTATTTTAAAGAAAGAAAGAATTAGCATGGAGACTGACGAGGGCTGGGGAGATAGCTCAGTCACTGCAGTGCTTGTGTACAAGTTTGAGAACCTCAATTTGATCCTTCAGAAACTAGATAAAAAAGCCAGGTGCAGTGGCACACTCCTG